CGTAACCTTGGGCAAGCAGCTTAATTGCTCCGTGCCTCAATTTCCTGCAGTAAAACAGTGTCAGCAACGAGAGCAACAAGGATTCTGAAGTCATTGCGTCCGTATTTCACCCAAAATTGAGCCTACAATTTCTGATGGAGCTAGTATATGTCTTCTAAATGGCCACACAGTCTTGCCCCTCTCCTTTCCTTTATGTGAAATCTCTCCCTTTACAGCATCTTTGCTGAACACCTTGTGCAGCAGACACCGAGACAGAGCTGGAGGACAGATAATAACACATTTCACAGCAGCCATAAAACAACGGGAGCCGTAATTTCTCTGAACTCTGGGTCAAACTTGTTGTTAGCCAAGTCTGTAAGAACTCGTATAGTAAATTACACACGTCTCTTTACCAGCAGGATCATAAAATAAAACTTTACAACCCTTCCAAAGGTCACCGCTCTGCCACAAACAGTAAGACAAAACAATAAATTCACCCCCGGGACCACCATTTTTGTGGCTTCGGCAGCGTTGGTTAGATCTGAGGAAATGAGAACTTTGACAATCTTTACACAAAGTCTTTCTTATTTCTCCTTTGGAGCCACCTTCCAGTCCTCCCTAAGCGTAAGGCAGAGGCTGAACAGCAGTCATGAAGGCTGTTACTGGTTTCAGCAGCAGCAAAGCCACATTTATCTCTATACACACATTTAATGGAAACAATGACCGAAGTGTTTCTTGGCAAATTAGTCCCCTTCTGCCCCCCCAAAGAAAAACACATCTATAAGCTATTTCCAAAACAATCAATATTAGTCCAGCAAGCAAAACTGTACGTTACATTTCCCATCAAAGTCTTGGCATTCCCTCAAACGAGCGATGCTTTATAAATCACAACTACTACCAAATAAACCGGAGAGAGGACTGCTGAGCTGGGCACCTTGCTGCTTTTCCCCCAGGTCTGGGGGCCCGAATGCAGGTAACTCAGCTAAAATCCCTGCGCTGGGCTGCTGACGTTCAAAGGTTTGGCCCAGCGACGCAGCTTTCCGTCTACACTTGTACAGAAGCTGGTACAACAGTCCAAGATCTAGACACTGCCATAGTATCACAACACAAACCGTAAGGGAGGGAACAGCAATCTCTACTGCCAGCTTCAGAGCACGCATTTGCTCTCCTGTGGATTTAAAAACAAGAAGACTGAGACATGGTGTTAGTTCTGCAGGTGGTTTTTTTTTTTTTTTTTTTGATTAGAGTACTTTGGGATACTTTGATCCTGAACATAAAATAAAAAAACCTCAAGTGAAGGGATTATCTGATATTCTTGAAGTGAAAATAAAGGTTTTCCTCTAAACACTCTTCTGAGAGGCTGACATTTGGTTATGCAAAGTTTATGGCATTGCTCTTTTATTCCCAGCGGCGGTGCTCTCCTATCACTCTGTCCTAATGTTGCAAAGCCACAGACGCAGTAATCAATGACACCGATTCTCTCTTCTGAAGCTCAAAGGGAGGACAAACCAGAAAAGAGGCAGTGCTGCCTGCTGAGGAACTGAAACGTCAAGAAATACTTACCGAAAGGATGCTAGCAGAGACCGTGCTGGTCACCTGGGCTTGAGAGCTGATGGCTTACCCCACGGAAAACACCCCAATGTAAGCTACCGCATTGCATGTTCAGGCTAAGAGATGATTCCTGTGTGCAAAGAGTAAGTTTTTTATTTGAAGAACCATCAGAGGTTTTATCTGGCTTCAGCCATTGACAGAGTGCAGACTCCCAAGTGAAGATGTAGCAAGGAAAACAGCTCAAACCTAAGAAATGCTCGGTGTGTTTCCCCGGCTATGTGTCCAAGAGGAACGACCTCCTCTGTCCTCCAGATTAACTTCCGTTTCATTCCGGGAGAGGAGATCCAAAGGAAATACATGACATTCCACATGGAAATCCCAGGGAAAACACGTCACATTCCTTGGCAATACCAGCCCGTGTTATATATACATAGGAGGAGGCGAACAATGCCAGCCTGGAGAGAAAGAGGGGCTCCCACCCTTGCTGGGCACCCATAAATCACGCTGCTCACACCACCACCAATCTCGGTATTAACCCTGAACCGATTCATCACGCACAGGGGCCTCAGCCTCTACCTTCTCTCTCCCACCACTAGGAGAAACAACGCACGTTGAAGGCTGTTTCCAAGACTGGACAACCCCTTCTTGTCCCTTCTGGGCCTCAACGTTCATCTGGTTAGTTCTGTTGGGAACGGCCCTGCTCTCCTCCTGCTGGTTCTGCCAGATTGTTGGGGGTAGTTTTTTGGATGAGCTTTTAGACCCAAGGGCAATGCCCCCTTTAGCTCAACCCTGCCCATCGGATCTCCAGCTCACGAGGTACCTTGGAACGAAACAGAAATACACGTAGAAGACTGGGGAGGCTGCTCCTCTGGGACACCTAGCTGGAAACGCACAAGCCCCTCACGAAGCATCCTTGCTGCATTTTTCTTACCATATACCTTCACATACCTACCTGTCTATGTGACAAAGGTTCAACCTTTTCCTTCTGTCCTGCGACAGCCTCTTATCAAGGCAAAGAACGAAGGGTGGATCGCACCAGTTCTTGGTTCTTGCAAGCTGTCACCTCACACAAGGCCCTGGCCACCGCTCTGTAAGTCTGTTGGTAACAGTCCCGCTATCCTTCCCTGTAGTTTTGACTCGTGCCACATCACCCGAGGACTTTTTGGCACCTTCCATTGTCTTCTTCTCTACGTCTTGTTTTTCACCTGTCGCTGTTCAGCCCCGCCCTGCCCATCAGACCTGTCATCTCCCAGCATGATCAACCACCTCCTGCTGATGCCAAAACCAACACAGTCAGCCCAGAGCGGCTGCAGGGATGAGGGCAGAGTGGACTGGAGATGGTTTTGCCATCCACCCACTCCGTTTTCAGCAGATGGGCTTCCAGGTCAGGCACTCTACAGCAACTGTGACCGAACCAGTGACTAAGGATCTCAATAAGGACACCTGCTCATGGTGAGTTATTTAGGAACTTGGTTTGGATGGGGTTGTTTGGCAGCTGTACTCCTTCCACATCTTTCTGCTGAGAGAAGTAATTCGAAAACATAATGGCCAGCAGTAACACTTAAGATAATGTATTAAAAGAGAGAGACGGTCCAAATGCAGGAAGGGTGTCTGATGTAGGAACTTCTCAGTGGTTTCAAAGCGAAGGCCGGTGCTTGAACCGTTTCGTGGAACCAGACTTACCAACTCAAGGCTGTACTGGGAAATGCAAACCAGCAAATGCACAGTTAACACCTGCCTAATCAAGCAGACAAAGGAGATATGAAAAAAAAAAATAATCTCGATATGCAGGGGATGTCTCAGTGCAGGTTACAAACACCCCAAAGTACTGACCTCGTGGCGATGTTGTTTGCATGATCGTAGCCCTAAAAGCCCCAGCCATGGACCAAACTGAAACACAGCAGGTGCCACATGACATAAATATGTATTTTTAGATGCTGCAGGTGCAGTATTACGCAGCCCTACCAGAGAGAACTGTGACTGCAGTATTACCAGCACAACACTAGTTGATTACTATTTTTCAACCTCTTTCATCTACTTGTAAAAGAAGTCTTCGGGGCTGCTCTGCAGCCACTTCACGTTGCATGTGGCAATTTTCACGGGGTTCATTAGCCATAAGGCCGTTACCTTGCCTTTTCTCTTTCTATATATTGTTTATACTGCAGCCGTGACGGGCTCCAGAGTAGTGAGCACTATGCAAATGACCATTTGCTGGATTCTGATAATTTGGAAGGGAAGAAGGATGCTGGAAACCCTCAGTTCAAGTCTTAAATAAACCACTGGTTTCCAGTTGCCTTGGGCAAGTCACTTGATCTTCCCATAATCCCATCTTCAAAACAGAAATGATATTTCTTTACCTGGGAGGGAAGCTGAAAGCATAAACCCATTAAAGACTGCAAGGAGTTCAGATCCTATAGTGATAAGCAATTACTTAATACATATGCAAAGCTTGGGAGCATATGTCGGTTGTTTCAAAATACAGACAAAACTGTTTGGTCCGACGAGCACATGAGAGATTTTCTCAATAACAACAACAAAAAAGCGAAGCAACAACCATAAACCACCAGTAAACTGCAAGTGGGCTCTGGAGACATGAGTGAACTCTCGTCTAACGGAACATTTCTTTCTGCTATGAACACGTGCTCTCTTGGAGACAGAAAACAGATTTCTCCTGCAGAAGTTGTGCAACTAATTTGGGTATACAGAAAAGGAAACATCTACCAAAGACGCTGAAGGAAACACTATGATGCGGAGTGCCACAGTTTTACAACAGAAGAAGAAACCATACAGAGTTACAAAACAACCCAGCGCACACCTTTATTGATGATTCACAAAAATCAAACATCATTCACCTGATTCACTCCAGCAGCTCCAGTACGGCCTCTTTCCATACTAGGTTTGGCTGATTTTTCCAAGGTAAAACAGTATTTGCTTTTAACCCGGGGTGGGGAAAATCATGCTTTACAGTTGCCATTTTGTAAGAGCAAACGCATCAGGGCCATCACAATACTTTGCAATTTTGTAACACTCAATCTTCAAAGCGCTGTGCAGGCATTTAATTAAAGCCTATTAAAGCCTCAAAGCAGTGCTGCCTCCCAGTCCATTTTAGGTCACACCTCCTTATTAATATTTCACACAAAACCCCCTCTACCTCCCAACAATGCTCACTCAGTACATCCATGGCTTGTACTACTCTCACGAGAACCTTAACCCTTTTGTTAAGTGGGATTTATTAACACTCCTGAAGCGCACTGAAGACACGAGCTGCTATCAAATTAACTGCCAGTGTGCTTCCATAACCTCACCAGAACATGTATTTTTTTCAATAAGCCAGTAGTAAATTTACCAAGGGTTTCACAGATACAAAAATTATCTTGATTTCCCACTAAAACACACGTAGTCACACATCCTAGTACGTTATATACATATAGCCACACCGGCAGTTTTCTCTGCGTGAGTCAACTGCTGAGCTATAGGAGACAGGAGTGAGAAAACCTGGGGAAAGGAATAACATCTTTGATGTTGTCAACTCCCAAGATGTACTGCAGGTAGCGTTCAAACCCCATTCCGAAGCCTCCATGAGGAACTGAGCCGAATTTTCGGAGGTCTAGATACCTGTAATTTAAACAGACAGTTACATTTGCAGCACGGTTACGCTGATGTAATTAGAGAGAGCTTTTTATCCAGGGTTTTGCTTTCCATCTTTATTACTTCCCTTTGACTCTAACCACTGTGGATTTCTGCAAACACAGCCGGCGTTGGTCAGGGGTGTGAAGAGGGGCTGCTCCCTGGCAGGCAGCCTTGTATTAGCAGAAACTCCCAGTGCAAACGAATTTAAACCAGCACAGCTACGCTTTGCCAATACGCTAGAGCCCGTTTTGTTTAAGAGCGAGAACTTATTTGGGTATGAAGAACAGCTTGAACATCATAGCTCTGCTCGCACTGAGAGCATCTTTGTAACTTTTAGTATCTAAAATATTCCTAGCGGAGGCACAAGCTCAGGTTCCTACAGAATCACAAAACTTTTCCACTGTCGAGAGATGGAGTTGCCTGCTTGGGCTTGTTTAGCCCTTGTCACGCTGGTGCTGAAATCTGCCCTACAATAAATTCTTTCATTTTCTGTCTTCTTTTCAGTAGTCTCAAGTCATTTCATTTCCAGTAATTTCTTCAGAAGCCTAAACAGGTCTTGCTGTCTGATGAATATTCCTCCAGGTTTTTTCTTTTAAGGTAGTTACGATGGCTTTACGTTACTTTTCCCCCAATCACTCTTACGACCATTTATTTCCGCAGTAAGACAGCAAAAAAACCTTGGACATATCTTTTCCAAAAATGAGATCTGGAACAAGACATTTCATTTTGGGGAACAGCACCTGCTGTGCACACAAAACTCAGAAAATGTTTGGACGCCGATACTCCAAATATACGGGTGTCAACAAGATTGCGATGGTTCTCCTTTAGAGTTCCCAGTTCTCCAGCTGGACTGTAGCTGATGTGATACACAGGAACTATATTTGCAGCTATAAATTATCACCAACAGTTTTATTTTAATAGGAGTGAAAAACATCTCAGTGGTTCTATTGATTTATGGGGCCACTTCAGAGCTTGCTGAGGCCACAAAGTTATTCTTTATATGAATGTACTAGTAAGGGATCGAGCGACTCCAGATGTATTACATGCTTCTAATCTTTTATCATTCCAGTTTAAAAAATAAAATCAAGTACACTTAAATATAAATAGATATATATGTTTTACTACTTAGGCAGTAGAGCGGAGGGCAAAAAGCACTGCGAAAAAAATTTAAGATTGGATTGATTGTAATACATGGCTTCCCAAATTTTAACTACTGCTAATGAACCACAAGGAAGAAGTGTATTTTGCAATGTCTGTATATATATGCACACACATTTATGTATTTTTATATGTATGTTTATATCTATTTATATGTAAAATAGACACTATATATATTTAAGGGTACTTGCTTAAATATATATACGTGTACTTGCTTGGACTTCTTTCCATGTGCTTCAGAACCTTGTTGGCTTGAAGACTAGATTTTAACAAAAGCAAAGCCAAAGTAATGCCACTGATGACTTCTACTTGCAAAACAGAAGTACTCTCCAACAAATGCTACAGCTGCAAGAGACGGCCCTGGCAGACTCGGTTGGACAGTACGCCTTTTCTACCATGAAATATTATTTTTCCTTGCAGTTCATTAACAATATTTAAAATTCGGGAAGCCATTTATTACACTCAATCCAATCTTCAGGTTTTTTTTCCCCTCCACTCCACTGCCCAAGTAGTAAAACCAGAAGCAGAACCTCACAGAATCACAGAATTTCTTACCTCTTCCTACGAGCACTGACACACAAAGCGCAGTTACGCCTATACTGTGGGCTCCAGGTGGAACAAACATTTTCTGACCCCTGGGACCCACGTGCTTTGTGCCCGTGCTGCTGGGTCTTAGCTTGGCTTGCTAAAGCCACACCTTGTGACAAAGATTATGCTTAGGATACGAACACCTAGGCTGTGCTACAGCAGGGCGGTCTTCATCTCTATCCACCTCACACAAACTGCATTAATAAGACCTTGAGTTTCTGCTAATGCACTGGGAACTGCCCCTGGGAAGCTCCACTTTGCAGCTTTTCAAGGGTTTGCCAGGCAGATGATGGGCAGATCTGAATGCTGAGGGTGGTGACTTGTGAAATAGGAAAGACCTCGGAAATGTGGGGGATAGAGCTGCTGGCTGTGGCAGCTCACTCTGTACCAGCTCAGTAATTCTGGTGACAACTCCAGCTGCAACCAGTGCTATAAGTAACAGCACAAACACTTCTGATGACGTCCACCTCAGCCTGTGCAAAGACTGCTGAGACCAAGCCTAGCATCTTTTCTCTCCTTTTGCTGGCAAGAGGGTTTATAAAGTCACTGTGAGGAGATGAAATAACTCAGCTTCTTCCAGATGAACAATAATAGTAAATTCTACTCTTGCTTACCCAGGGCTTTCATCTGTAGATCTCAAAGCACTTTGAGAAGCCATTTTGGCAAAAGGAGAGAAACAAAACCCGTTAAAGTTAATGGAAAAAGTCCATTGAATTAAACGTGCTGAGGATTCAAGACTGTGAATCCTTTCTGATGAATGCGCTTCGAAAAAGCAAAGGAACTGAGAAATCTTCCATTCTTCCCAGATGAAAGAGAAAGTAACTGCCTGCAGACGAAGAGAAAATTCCCTTTAGGCTGGAAAATGCTCCCTGATGTTTTCCTTCATTCAATAGCCTCCAGACATTGGACATTTCTCACCTCAAAAACAGTCATGAACTGGTCTAGCTATTTCTCCTAGTAGCTCATACCTAAGAGGAGAGCTGAGCCCTCCATTGGCGACTGGGGGTCCGTGCAGCATTATTCCATGGGGGAAATAAGTTTCTGCAACCCCAGCTAGACCCTGAGTTCATGTTCTGGACCTGGAGGACTAGTAGTTCTTCAGAGATTTGAATCTGACTAAACTATGTGCTGCAACAACATCCCCCGGCAATGAATTCCAGGAGCTTGTTATGTGCCAAGTTGGAAGAGCATTTCCTTTCATCCTTTAAAAAAATCTATACTCTTTTAACATCATCATGAGCTCCTGTGTTGCATGGCAAGGCACTATGAAGATCAGTGCTCTGTAAGTGACCATTCATAAGCAGAATGTATTCTTTTCAGTCCCCTTTCAAAACAAATATAATCTTGATCTTTTATGTAACCCTCTCGTTATACTGAAGCCTCTGCAGCCAGTTTGAAAAATGTAAGGCTGAAAGAACAAAGATATTGCAGTCCATGAAGTTGAATGTTCTACTGGAAAAAAGAAAAAAAAAGGAAAAAAACAAGGGTAATGAAAAACTGCTAGTGAAACGACATTTGAAAGACCATTTTGTTCAATGTCTCAGGAAATAAACATGCAAAGCATTGCCAGGATCTGATGCTGAGTAAAATGCTGCCTTTGGTTTCAGGCAGCTTCTGCTCTGCTACCACTTTTTGGGAATCCACAAAAAAACCCCCAACATTCAGAGAGGTCAAACTAAACCAGTCCCATTGACACGAGCGGGGTTTGCGCACATGTTGGCTGGCTTCAGCACCGACTTTCTCCCTGCCTCTGGATGGCCCAGCACAGCGCTCCGGTTTCTCCCCAAAGCAGGAGTACTAGGACCATGCGCCTGCCAAGGAGAGCAAAGGGCTACCTTTTTTCGCTGGGCTCTGAAGGAGGTGAAAGGATGCCACGAATGCTGTCCCTGGCCACGGATTGCAAGTGGCTCACCTTGTGCTGCTGTTCCTTAAGCCCAACTCCTCCTCTCTACCTCACCGCGCAAGCGCCCAACAGAATACTCTGGCATTCAAGCTTCAATGAAAATTATAAATTAAAGAGCCCAACACAGCTCAATCTTCTCCATCCAGCGCAGGAGCAAGGCCAAGACAACACAGTAATAAACATTCTAAGACAGCAGCTAACACCTGCTCTGCCACTGTGTGCTTTCACCAGCGTTACACCAGCAGATCAGAAAGGTACCTGGACTGTAAAGGGGTCAGTATGAGGCCACCTTCTGCATTGATGCGTATGATGACGATCAGAGTGAAGAAATGGGTGCCCCGCATGTACAAAGACTGTCTGAAATGCTGCTCAAGCTGCTGGTAGCAGGAACACGTTGTTCATTACAAACTACCTGCTTTGTTATTGCTCATGCTAAGCTGGGCGCTCGGAGGCTGCAAACAGGATCAGGTGCCCTGTTTACAAGGCAATATACTTAATACTCCCCGGTCACAGAGAAAGCAAGTGAATTCCCAGATGAACTCTGATCACCTGACTCTCCCACCTCACTTCCACAGACCTCTCTCAGTCTAGCCAAGATCACCATCTACAGCACCGAGCTCTTTTCTATCTACAGTTCATAGGAAGGAGTGGGAAAATAAGATAAAACAAAGTGTGCAAAATCAAGCCAAATACTTCTCCAATTCATACTCTCTATGGAAAGAAACCCGCACAACAGGAAAGATGTAGTAAACTGAAGATTCAGAGGACTTTGACCAAGCGCCTTTATCTACTTCTATTAAAAAGCTTTCTAAAAGGTGGGAAGGGGGAGAAGCAAAACAGTATTTCAGATCATCAGCTGCCTCTTTGCCCAGTGATTCTTCCACAAACAAAGCAGTCCTGAAGCTGTTCTAGAAGTAGTCAGCCCCCACAATGTCCTCATGCTTAGTGAGAGAGAAATACAGCAATATATAAGGGATTTCCAAAGGGACCACATCTCATACAGCTGCCCATTCTAAAGTCAGCAAATATTGGATTTCAAAAGGAATGACTCAACTGTTCTTCAAGGCGTTTGAAAGCCACCTTTGGAGACTAAATTCAATCACTAAATTGGAGGAGATTAATTTCAGTCTCTCCTGCCACCTCCACTAAAAAGATGGATGCTGGCAAACCACCTCCCTGTTTTCTGGCAGATTCTGGACTGCAGATCAGAGGCATCCAGGATTAACTCCTATCCCGCACCTTCCTAGGGCACCAGAGCCTGCTACGGCAGGGGCTAACAACAGTTTTAATCTTCTCTGGGAAGTTACATCAGCTATGATGGAGTGGAGGGAATAGAGGAGGAAATAGTCTCCAAAACGAGATCACAGGAGGAAAGAATTCCCAGAATGTGATTGCTACATATCACATGGAAATGCAGATGGCTGACAGGCAACGTCTTAATCTTCCCTCTTGAGGGAAGCACGAGGCAGAGCTGAGCTCTCTTAGTAGCGCTGGAAGGCTCTGCTGCTGAACGCCAGACTTCCTCAGGCTGTATCTCAGCATCTAACCACACAACGGATCACCCTTGGTGAGGATAATCCTTCCTTCAGATGAAATGATAGGGTGTACTCTGGCCCATAAATGCAAACAATAAAGGAAGACATTTCATTCACCCTGTTTGCAAACGGATGATGTTAAGGTCTGCCATGCGCTGGGCTGTTCCTCAGTGATTTCACGTTGTGGGAAGAGGAGAGTGAAGAATCCTAAACTTACTCTGCTTTTTTTCAAGGCAGCCTCCCTAATGATCAATCCAAATACTGCAGAATGTACTCTTTTAAATTTAAAATTCTCTGCACTATCACCTCTCAGTAGCTATGACGAAGCACATACCAAGAAACACTTGCCAAGAGGAACCCTAAGATCCTTCTGTCATTTTAATGGGCTAAACCATTAATTCAAAGGTTGATCTGTCTCCTTAGCAGGACAGTTTTAATTGCTTCAACCGCTTTGTTAGGGAAGATTTTTCAACCCAATTGCCCTGTTAATTGCAAAGGGAGTTATTCATAGAGCTGTTAAAGGTCACAGATTGCTTATGGTTCTGCAGCCTGTTTATCTCATGCAATGGCAGTCAGAATCTATTCAACTTCGAACACAGCCTAACGATTTAATATCAAAAAACCAATTTAATATCAAAAATCATGATGGGTTGTAAATTAATCTGCTTCATGCAATCCTGAAAGGAATGACCTGTGCTGTGAGTGGACAAATTGGGAAGATAAACTAAGCAGCATTAGATTAAACTTTGCTTAAATGAACTGGCTGTTCCATTTAGACTGGCAGTGATGGCAGGGCAACTGGGCCAAGAAGTGTTCCCTCAAGAAGAGGATAAAAAAAAAATCAAATAGCTGTTTAAAGAATCAGAAAGGAAGAAATAGAGCTTGCAGACCGAGATATGTCTTACCATTGGTAGGCCTCTGCGAGTCCTAATCTGTGGAACAAAAAGAAAACCCTTTGTAAGTAAAGGAACCGAGGAGATGCACACATGCAGCACTTGCCTGGAAGTGAATGCTAGAAGAAAAGGGAGGGTCTGATGACTAAACTCAGTCCAAAAAGGAAAGGCAGAAAATTACGGGAAGACATGATCAGTGACTGTCAGTTCTGGTATTTAATTGGTAGATAATCTTGAACAACTCCTGACATGCTTCTTAAAATGCAAAGTTTGTTTTGTCAACACACAGGGTTGATCCCAGCGTCATGCAAAGACTCGTGTATATATTCTTAACTTTGAGCATATCAGTGAACTCTACTTGTGAATGTTTGGAGAGTAGAGGCCTGAATATTAAATTTACAATGACATGCAGCCAAACCTTATATTTATGAGTCAGAATCTCTTCACATGTGTGGCTACGTGGCTCCCCTTCCACAGTGCACAAACGCACTGGAGTCCCATAGCTTTATTAAGGTGTGTCAACTTCTGTAAAACTACTAAATAAAATAGGTCGTCTTCTAACTGCCACCAGTGCACCCTCTCTCCTGTTCCTGCCCTGGCAAGAACCACAGCAAAGTTGTTGGTTTTATTTTCCATTTCTCTGAACAGGAACAGAAAACTCTGTAGGCAAAGAGAGATCAGTTCTCTCATCTTCAGTGCATCGCAGCTGTCCCTGACTGGGACTTTGAGAGCTATTGTATTAAGTGTGTACGAGGAGACAAGAATCCCATTCTTTATCTCGCTCAGTTATGCTGGGTCTGCAGGAAGTAGAATTTGAAAGCTTTAACCAAGTATTTGGGCTCAGCAGATCAGATCCTGAGGACTCAAAATTGAGAAAAACATCTGAAAAGAGGTGTTATTTTTCCAGGTAATCTTCAATGCAGAGACGTACTTTAAGGTCACTGAAGACACACCTCATTTGTAGCTTGAAATACTTCTGTGACTTTCCTGACAAACAAGAAAGTCTGGCTTCAACCTCCACACAGACCCCTCCTCCAGCCCCACACCCTGAGGGCTGCGGACTCTGGATCTCACTGGCAAAAAATTTCAAGTGAAGAAGTGCAGCAGGCAACACTGTGCTTCGCTTCAGCTGAAGCATGCCTGCTTCGGGAGAGCTCGCAGAGAGACTAACAGGAAGCACAGGGAATAAAATCATCCTACACCACAGATTGAGAACCAATGTTCTGGTGGATTTAATTGTCCTGTGCCTTTTGGATTCATTATGCTGAAATGGGTTTTGCTCTTCTCCACTGAGTAGATCTATCTCTGTGAGCATGTGGCTGATTTAAGCAACAAATTCATTCCCAATGTGCAAATGATGTTACTCTGAGATTAATCCTCCTCCAAAATTGCTTTGCACAAGTGTATGACTGCCCCAAATGGACTCGTCTGAGTTATGAAAGGTTCTCTGGAACAATCAGACAGGATCCAGGGAGTAATTGTCTATGGAGAATTACCTCATCTATAATGTCAATTATTGTTAACTAAACAGCAGCTTTGATGTTTGGACATGGAATTTAGCCTAAAATTATTCAAAG